CACACTTATCTCTGTGTGTTTCAAGCACAGTGGTGTTTTCAAAGTTTGGGGTGCATTTGTGGCAGGTACGGGCACGCACGACTATGGGGTGAAATGAGTCCGATGATGCTTCTAAATGGAGCACCATTTAGAAGTCACCAAGGCATCATCGGACTCATTTCACCCCATAGTCGTGCATGCCCGTACCTGCCACAAATGCACCCCAAACTTTGAAAACATTACTGTGCTTGAAACACACAGAGATAAGTGTGGGCGAGAAATCATTGAGGCGTTTAAGATCAAATACGCCGCGAACAATCTTTCTGAGCCTTCTCTGGTGTTATCATCAAAAGAGTTGGAGTTCCTCGCGCCAGAGTTATCGAAAAGCCAGTTTTGATCAATTATTTACCTTTCTTTTCTTCTTCCTTTTCCTCGTTTTCAGGGGATAATTTCCTTTCTTTTCTTCTTCCTTTTCCCCATTTATTCAGGGGTCAATTTCCGTATTGTTCTTCCTTTTCTCTTTTATTCAGGGGTTAATTTCCATTAATGTCCTATCGTTTCAATTTGGTCTTTTAAAAATTTTCGAGCAATTTAGTTTTAATTTATTTTAATTTATTTTATTTTAAATTTGAGCATTTACGTTTAATTTTTTGCTCTCTTTATTTCAATTCTTTGAAGCTCACGGTCGTAGTGTCATGGGCATTTCATAAATGTTCGTTGCTCATTGAAAGAACTGTGTGCGTCTGTGTTCGTCCTTCATGTGTTTTATTCTTTCTGTGTATTCCGCGCTTGACACATCTGCATTTGCTTTGTGGTGAAGATGCTTACAGTGTGAGGGCTGCGGCAAAGTAGTGACTGTATTACACATCTTGTGGAATTGCAGGCACCTACATGAACAGCGACGGGCATGTTTTCCAGAACTTTTTAGATATCATCTCCCGTTTCGCACTGCCTTCCTTCACGGTGATCAACCTCTAGTCCCTTTTCGGCGCGTTTTAGAATTTCTTAAACTGGCTACATACACCGACTGTAACTTTTATTCATAAAATATATTACTCCCATTGTAGATATTTTAACATGGTGTAGATTACGCATGGTCAGTGTGTAATCTTAAAATTCATAGACAGTAATTTTTTATACCCAAAGCTCATGTTTATGTGACACACGACTCATGTTCATAGTCTTATTAGATCATCAGCTACTATAACTCTGTTTCTTCAACCCTTGTTTCTGCAATAGTTTATGCACTTGGCGCATTTTGGCCCTAATAGCTCTCGCGCCATAAAACTCAAATCAATCAAATCAATCAATCAAGGTCGCTCTTGCGCGGAAGGCTACTCCGCTCAAGCGCCGATTCGGCGAATCATCACCACTCAACGATGGATGGCGTCGTGGCGCCGCGGGCACCACGACGGGGAAGACGAAGGCAATTTCCTTCAATTAAAAGCGTGCCATCCTCGACGGAGTGCGCATAGACGTAAAGAATGCCGTACACCGCCGGGGCCGTCGCAGCTGTCGATACGGTCCGTATCACTGATCTCAATGACAATTGCTGGATCGCGCATCCCCGCTCCGCGAGTACGGCCACCGCACGGCCATCCTGGATGCCGTTTTTGTTTTTTCGTTGTTTTTCTTCTTTTTTTTTCGTTTTGCTAGCGTTGCAGAGGCCGGCTGCAGTGTGCTAAAGACACGTTTTCTACTCGTTCGTCGTCATTCGCCGCAGACGTTCTTTAAGATCCTGTGTGAGGCGTTATACTTGTCGTTGAGAACACGTGGACATTTTTACGAAAGCGCAGTGCCGCAGTAAAGAACAACAACTCGTGGAAAGCAAGTTTCGCCGGTCTCGCGGCGTAGTCAAAGCTTCCTTGGCATGCCGAAGTGCTGTGTCTCTGTGCGTTCGCGCGCTTGGACACCGACCAAGAATCGACGCCGTGTGGATGTTTTTTGCGAGTGCAATGTCCGTGAAAAGCCGTATGTAAAGGCGCACGACTGTGTGCAGCGTTGCCCACAGAGGGTGCATTTCTTTTTGTAAAATTTTCAGAGAACGAATTTACCTGGGGAAACAGTAAAGAAAGAAAAAGGTTCAGCTCCTATGGAAATGCAGCGACGCCACCGGTCTTCAAACAACACGGCGCCGTTTCGCACGGGAGACAAGAGATGGCGCAACGAACGCCACCAACGAACGAGCATAAGGCGCCGAGAGACGGCGTTTTTAGCAGACAATCTTTTCGACTCGAAAGCAGCGCGCGTTCCGCAGGCGGCGACAGTCGCAGAAACAAAAACAGGCGCGGTAACAACAAGGAAGTGCAGTTCCTTGTCTGCTAAAGACGCCGGCTCTCAGCGTCGTATGCTCGTTCGTTGGCGGCAGTTGGCGTCGCGACCGCTTGCGCCATCTCTTGTCTCCCGTGCGAAACGGCGCCGTGTTGTTTGAAGACCGGTGGCTTCGCTGCGTTTCTATAGGAGCTAAGCCTTTTTCTTTCTTTACTTTTTCCTCGGGTAAATTCGCTCTTTAAAATTTTACAAAAAAAAAAAAAGCACCATCTGTGGGCAACGCTGCACAAAGTCGTAGCGTGATAGGCCAGTGGTTCTCAAATGGGGGTCCGCGGACCCTTTGGGGTCCCCGAAGGCATTCTAGGGGTCCGCGAAGCTCAGCCTCATCGAGCCCGGAAATAAAAGTTGTCTTTTCTCAGATTCAGAAGAAACGTTCCAATTTTCGGGTGCCTTTTCTCGTGTATGTGCCAATTAAAGAGGTCTACTTCACACTAGCCCTTGGTTATATCCATTTATTAGATCATTATTATATTTAACCTATACCTTTCCTCCCCTCTCACCTCGAACGGGGTCCTCCATCATCTCGGCCGATCCACCAGGGGTCCGCGAAACATCAATGGTTGAGAACCACTGGCGTTAAAGGGATACTACAACGAAATTTCGGCGCTCATTTTTTAGTCTATATGTGTTCAAAAAAGCACCATCAAATCGAACATACCAATATCTTGTTAAAAAAGTCACGAAAAGGAATTTTAAAATGAATTAAACGATTAGCAAAGAGCACCTGGTGGATGTCGCTAACGCCTCGCTTGTAATGCGCGTCTAGCAACATTGGCAGCTAGTGACGGAGGTTGACTCACCTCCGGCCACGACGAGAGAAGAGGGGCAGGAGGAACTCCCCTCTTCCCGAGAATGCCTTTTGTGTGTCACAGAAGTTGCTATTGTCCCCCTACAAGATTATAGAAGATTAACCCGTCACTCAAAATTTGTACAAAAGCAGCCGCTTCGGTGGCTGGAACGACTAGGCCATCCTCTCGACGTCAGCCTCGCCGTAGCTTTGCTCGTCTTGAGACGATTGCGTTGGATGTCACGTGGTCTCCGCTGGGCCTTCTCCGAGCGCTTGCCAGAGTGGGCCGTTTATAACGAAAAATACAGCCACCAGGCTCAAAATACAAACGTGCGATTGTCATTTACGGATATTGGGGATCATATTCAACCTATTTTTGAACACGACGGGAATATTTCAAATTTCGTTGAAGTATCCCTTTAAGAAACCGAATTTTGCGGCCGATTTAAAGAGCCTGGCGTCTCCTTGAATCACCCTGTATATCATAATCCCCATTACTTTCATCTTGTATATTTCATCATATCATAATCACCATCACTAGACGCGCACGGGCCGCTGCCTTTCTGTGGTGCCCTTATTATTTTTAATATTACTATCTGGTTTCGACCGCTAGGACTAAATTTTGGCGTTCAGTAATGCCAACGTTACTAAAACACTCAGTTGGAAAACTCGCCGTCGAAACCTGAGCCGGTGGCGTCCACCGAGACCGAGCAAAATGCGACAACAGCGCCACTCTTTATCGTTTGTCTGTACTGTGGTCACCTTGAGCTTTTTGAAAGCCTGTTTTGCGTAAAAACAAACGGAAAAGACTCTTTTTGTATAAAATTTATTGTAGTTTTGTATCAAATGAAGGGAGCGTGATGTTTTTATAATCTTTAGTTTGCAAGGTTTTGCGGAACAATTAATATTGTTTTTATACAACCATGCCTCAGCGGTCCTTTCAGGTAGCGCGTCCTGACCTAGGTAGGTTTTAACTTCGGTAGTTCGACGCGGCGCGTCCGCCGGGGAGACGGGGGTGGCACCTCTGTAACCTTGCAGTTCCTCGAGTGGCCGCTGCAGGAGAGATGGTGGCGTTGTGTTCGTCATTAGCTCGGTGCTCGGAGACAGATCGGGGCCACTTTTTCAAAGCTCTCTATGGGAGATTCCCAAACTGAGTGTTTTAGTAACGTTGAGTAATGCATATTTAATTTTTTTTTTCAGTAAAAAGAATTAAAAAAAAAATTAAGTGTCTTGAGGAGCCACCCTGTACAATTTTTTTTAAAGTACTTACCAACATTGTGATGGACCCAAACAATACTGCATATTTACGATAAATTGATACAAAAAAAAAGAAACAGAAAAAAAATATGTTTGGGCATTGCTTTAATATAGGGGCAATGACCTTTTAACTACGCCCCGTTTTGCTTCGCAGTAGTGCTTCGTGACATTTAGATTTTAGAGGCACATACACTATGGATTTTTGTACAGCTTTCATAAAATGCGGCTGAATAGTGCACAATGCGCTGTAACTGCCGCAAGAATGACAATATCCTTGATCCCACGGGCTTCGGTTATAGCGGTTTCGTTTGCCTCCCGTCCACCAGAACCATTAACTTCTAAGAAAACGAAAACATCAAACAACAACAACAACATGAAATCAAATAGTAAACTTCGTCAGTTTAAACAGTTGAATACTGTAGGCGGGAAGTTTACTGACCAGATTTTTGAAACAGAATCTAGCAGCGCATTCAACCGAAACCGAAACTGTCATCCAGGTCGTTGGCACACAAATCCTCCATGCCTGGAAAGTAATCCTACTAATGCAATACGAATATTGTTTTAAAAAAATATAAAAAAGTCGGAAATAAAATTAAAGTAATAATTACCTCGTCAATGTAAACTTAATAAAAAAAAAATGTTAAAGAAAAAAGAAAAGTAATACAACGAGCTTCCGTTGGTGGAGTCTTCGGCGGTTTCGAGCCGTCAGGTGTTTTGTTTTCGTTTTTGCAATTTGCGTCCTCCGGTCCTCCGCGTGTGATCCTCAGCTGCATGGGTTCCCGATGATCGTCTCGGTGATCTGGGAGAGCCCGGCATCGTGGTGCAAAAGTGCGCCACCCTGAGCCCGGTGTGCTGGCGCTCGCCGATTCCCGCCGCCCCACCGACCGTGGATACCGCCCCCCGTGCGCCCAAAGGTGTTTCGTTTAGGCTTACTCTTTGTCCGAAGCCATGGGCGACAAGTCGTCCAACAAACCCTCGGCGGTGTTCGTCAAGCCCGTGCCCATGAAACTGTTCGCGGCCTGGGAGGTGGACAAGACGACGCCCAACTGCATCCCCAGGTAACGGTCGGCGTCGCTGCGTCGCCGCCGCCGCCGACGTGACTGATGACACACGCCCGCGTTGAGTCACCCGGACCCCGACAAACGCGCTCAAACGATCCCTTGCCAGTGCGCGGCTTCGATAACGAAGCAAAATTCGTCCGTTTTTGCGAGAATTTGAAGCGTGAACGAGCTCGCTAGTGGAGTGATGGCGCGGTTTCTCACGAGCGCGTTGCGTGTAGTCTGACTCGTGCGTTCCTCGTTTAGTGATTTTGTTTTGATTCCTTCGTGTTCGCGGAAACCGTCTGCAGAAGCCAGGGATCTTGGGGTTGTTTCCCGACCCTACCCGCATTTGATTTGGATGAGCATCGTACCGGCGTGTGTTCGTGTTCTGCGTGATAAATACCCCAAGCTAGCAGTGCTGCTGTACTGGCGAAATTGCTCATCCACAGCTGACACACCAGACGCCCATACTAACATCCCGATGTTTAAGCGTGTTCACAATTATTGAAATCGTCGGTGGAGCCCTTGCGAATAGCCGTGGTCCGCACCGATCCTTGAAAACAAAAAAGCACACACAAAAAAAAACAAAAAAAAACGCATAAACGAAGAGATTTTACACGTAGTATACAGTTGGGCGAGTTGGTATAGATTGAACTAGATTCAGTACAGTGCGCTTTTCTGTCGTCTACGTGTTCCTCTTCTCTGTCCCTGGCCTTTTGTACGGAACTGTAGCTATGTTTAGATCGTACACGGAAGCAGACGGCTGTTCTGGGTGAGCGTTTTGGAGAAGGTATTTGATGAAAATCTGTAGGGATACAGAATAGGTGCCTCGTGTGAGCTAGGGATGGGGCAGTTTCTTGGGGAGCACTCGCTGCAGAGTCCCTGCATTTTGGCTTCTCGTGAAGCTTGCAGTGAATGGAACCATCCTTCCATCGAAGGAACGCAGTGTAGCATTACTTTGCTACATTTACGTGTGATGGGGACACAAGTCACATGGTGCAAAGATTTTTAAGGTGTGTCAAATGTGTGAGTCTTAAAGCAGCTCGGACAACAGAAAAAACTAATTCCGTAGGTGAGAGGAAACAACATTGCATGAACTAAGGGTGCACCCAGCTCTTACTTAGAATTCATCTGGAGCTTGCCTTCTTCAACGTTTTTATATTGGTATGCATCATAGCCTATGCTCCATTTTTGCATAGATTGGCATAGATTGGTCATTCAACCCCTAGTTATAATGCATACTGCATTGTAGGGTCCTGTGTGTTTGGCTATGCCCATAATGTTTTTGTAAAGTGCAACGAAACTGGCAAAAAAACTCACGTCTTGCCTGCAGGGTCTACATTAGGTTTACAAAGAAGGGTTTCTTTTAGTTAAGTCTCCAACCCTGTAAGTAGCCAAAACCTCAAAACTTTGGCTTAGAACAATGTTTCGAAGCAAATAATGCTACGAGCATAGGATAGCATATTTGTGCTCGTAATGAACACTCGAGTTTAGCTCGCTACAACAAAGCAGGTTGCACCAGAGCTTCTCGCCAGCAGGGTGATGGTAGCAAACACGTTTTGTTCATTCTTTTCTGCTTTTGTGCTCGTCATTCTGGCATTTACGTCATCAACAATATTGATTGGGGGCATCTCAAATAATGAGCGACATTGTTCTGGCTTCAGACCAAAAATTTGGTTTAGCCCCTTAACTGCCGATAACGGGATATCTCGTCACGTTGGTCCTTCGTCGCATCTACCGATGACGTGATAACCCATCATGACACTTTTTGGCTGATAAAGAGAAATTTCCCAAGGTTTATTTGGGTTAAATGTTAGTTTACTCAATGTTTGGCACTCTGAGCATACTCTGAAACATTTCAAGCTTGTTTTGATTTAAATCTACCAAATATAGAGTGATTTTAAGAGCTGGAAAGCAAAGCCAAGTTTTAAAAATGGCTACCTCCCCATGTTCAGCCATCCTTGGGATGAATAAGTTGGAGCACCATTTCTTCAATTCATTCTGAGTTGAGTGATGATAAATGGCTCCTGTAAGAGGAGAGTGAGGACCACCTCGACCTGACCAAGTGCTCCATTGTGGAAAGTGGAATCAATGCAACCGATGTTATGAAACAAGCTCAAAATGCTGAGCAATTCATGGACAGACTAGCCTAAAGCTTCAAATTCAAGTTTCTGGTGTTTTGTTTAGATAAAGGATAAGTGTAAAATCTTTTAAATATATCAATACATTGTTAAAAATAAATTAAGGTGCTCATATGCAGGGTCAGCAAATAATTTAAAACAAGGCCTGGCAGTACTCATCTTGATCAAAAAGAAATACCTTGAAACAACATAAGCTAAAACAAATTCAGCAGTTTTCAAGCATTTTTGGTAAAAATAATGGGAAGCTATGGAGTGAACGCTAAATAGCCGACATTATAGTGAAGAAACAACCTTTGCATCATGTGCGCTATGAAAAGACAAAACTTTTAAGCCTACATTGTCACACACTAGAGTCTGACAAATGTTGAGCACATCAGTTAAAGGGACTCTGACACCCCCCAAAAAAATTTGTTTATGTTTTACCAGGCGATCTATTAGGGTGTCAGAAGACTGCCCAATCAATATTTTGCTGCAGCGTCATATATACTTTTAATAAAGTAAAAAAAAATGCAACTGCTCGAAACTGAAACCGAAACTGAACTGGGGAGGAAGAAGAAATATAGAGAAGGAGAAAGCTACCGGAAGCCACGTGGCTGTGCTACTTTTTTTCTTTTTCAATCAACATATTTGCAGCTTTTTAAAAGCCACAAGAAATGGGTATCATATTTTCTGTCTATTCTTAGTATTTAGTGTGTGCCTTCAATGGGACCCACGATTTTGGTTATCTTTGGTGGTTGTGTCTGAACCATAGAAAAGGGCACGTGACCACGGAGAAGAGAGTGAGCGCGACTCAAGCCAGCCAATTCTCGATTGGCTATTTTCAGGTGGAAAGAAAACAAATTTGGAGCCGCAAATTGTGTTCTGGGTAGTTGGGCTCTCTTATGTCATGTACAAGTAAAAACCTTGGTGAGCATAAACACCCTGTCAGTGTCCCTTTAATAGGGCAGTGAAACAATATTGGCTCTGACTGTTGTACACCTTGGACAAGCCTAGTGGCACACAAGTATAGCACTTGCAAGCAATGCAAGTGCTTGATAGACCCAGAAGCTTCCTTGTTGGGGTGTAATTTCAAGAGTAGGAGTTTAGTCTCTTCTTTAAGTCCCTTCTATGCAAGGTATGCAACATAGCCTCGGAGAATGGCCCTAGAATATTGATAGTCAAATGTGGCTCTTTGATTGGACACAGGCAATGTGCCAATGACCTTGTCTCCAAAGCCCATTTGCAGACATCCCAAGAGGCCCATAATTTATTGTGCACACAAAGCGTAGCATTCTCCTTCATCATATACTATGTGACACCAAATAGAAAAGGAGGGTAGCATAGTTGTGCTGCCCTCACCTGCCTTGCCTCTGTCGTCTGCTACAGCCGGTTCTATGCGGCTAGTTCCCAAAGTCCCTTGTGGCACCACGGAGAACCCTGCAGGTTTTACAATGGGTCTACTGCTGCAAAGACGCGTCAAATTTAAAGACTACTTGGGTGCAGCACATGCTTTATGCTTTGCTAGCCTCACCATGGGGCTATGATGAACACTGGTGGCATATAATCAGCACCAGATTATGTGGTATACACATACCACATGATCATAACATAAAAAGTGCTTGAAGTCAAGTGCAAAGAAACAAAGCCAATGCAGTTGAAGTGAAGTTGTACCTATGTCATATACAAAGCACTTGAAATGCAGTAATTTTGATGTCCATTCAAAGTAAAGTACCTTTCCAACAAAGCCTGGCAGTAAGGCTTGAACAGTGCTTTTTTTGTGGCTAGTTCTGGAGTTTTTTTGTTGTAACTTGAGAGGATTATAACTTTCTGTTAATCCATGTTTGGTTTAGTATGTACTTTTTTTTCCTGGAGAGAGGGTTGAGAGCAAGCAGAGAGCAATGGTCTGCTCCGTGCTCGGTCTATGCTAAAGCGTGCAAGAACAAACACAATTCACCTTTTCACATTTTACTAAACTGATTGTCTCATTGCATAATTAAATATTCTACTTGTAGAAATTCGCTGTTGGGGAGAGTTAACATTATGGGGGAGGGGGCAGTCAAACGCTTTGAGAAGCTCTTGACATTAAGTCATTTGTGCAATCTTGTTGCTTTAGTGTCGTCCTATTTTGCTGACCTAATTAAGTTTATTTTGGAATGTTTGCTGAACTCTGGTCCTTTTAGAAGTCTGAAATTAGTGAATGGTTGCAATAAGTTCCTTGTCATTATCAGTCTTCATTGTGATGAGCAAAAACAAAGCTTGTCTTAATTTAACTCAGCAGTTGGCATTTCCAGCTAGACAGACTGAGTGACGACGGTCAAAACAATAATTTCACTAAAGTATTATGGAAAATCTGCAAAAAGTTTGAAGTTCCGACATTTTTTGTTTGCGTCAAGAATAAAATAGGAGAGGTTGCCTTATAGATGGATTGAGCTAGCGGATAGAAATCCAAAGCGCTCAGCCTGTCTTGGTCAAGAGTGCTGCAAATTATTTTCTAGACAGCGAGAGTTCCCTGTTGCAGTCTTCTAGTAGATGATGTGATACTTCACAGTACTTTGTTGTAAGAATCTCCGAGCCACTTGAAACCTGTGGCTTTCTCCAGGAAAGGGTTTAGTTGAAAAATTGTAATCGTGTTGTGGGTATGTCGGCTCCAACTGTCGTCTGATGTCTCAGCTGTAGATGAGCAATTTATCCAGTGCAGTATGAGTGCTAGCCTGTGGCCATTAATGTGCACTGTGCAGTGCACATTAAAGGGACACTGACAGGGTATTTATGCTCGCCGAGGTTTTTAATTGTACGTGACATATGAGAGCTCAACTACCCAGAACAGAATTTGCGGCTCGAAATTAGGTTTCTTTCTACCCGAAAACCGCCGATCAAGAACTGGCTGGTTTGAGTCTC